TGTTTTTGTTTTTGTGAGATGGAGTCTCATTCTGTTGCCCAGGCCAGAGTGCAGTGGTGCAATCTTGACTCACTGCAACCTCCGCCCCCTGGGTTCAAGCAATTCTCCTGCCTCAGCCTCCTGAGTAGCCAGGATTACAGGAGCGTGCCACCACGCCTGGCTGATTTTTGTATTTTCAGTAGAGACAGGGTTTCACCATGTTGGTCAGGCTGGTCTCGAACTCCTGACCTTGTAATCCACCCACCTCAGCCTCCCAAAATTCTGGGACTACAGGCATGAGGCACACCGCACTCGGCCTTCTTTACTTTCTTTTCCTTTTTTTTTTTTTTTTTTTGAGACGAAGTCTCACTCTGTGGCCTAGGCGACGTGCAGTGGTGTGTTCTGGGCTCACTGCAAGCTCAACCTCCCCAGTTCATGCCATTCTCCTGCCTCAGCCTCCCGAGTAGCTGGGACTACAGGTGCCCGGCACCACGCCCGGCTAATTTTTTGTGTTTTTAGTAAAGACTGGGTTTTACTGTGTTAGCCAGGGTGGTCCTGATCTCCTAACCTCGTAATCTGCCCACTTTGGCCTCCCCAAGTGTTGGGATTACAGGCATGAGCCACTGCACCGGGCTCCTTCTTTACTTTCTTAACAAATTTGCTTTCACTTTACTCTATGACTTACCCTGAATTCTTTCTTGAGCACGATCCCAGAACCCTCTCTTGGAGTCTGGATCAGGACTTCTTTCTGGTAACATTTTCCTGGCAACCACAAAGGGACTGTACTGAAGACACCTCAGATCCTCCCCTCAAAAAATCATCTGTGGATACGGATTGGCTGACTTTGAGTGAATGGGATGCATATACCTGGGTAAAGGATGAGATTGGGTTACAGGCACAACTTAGGAAAGTCAGAGTCTCTCCTAGGACGGAGTGTGTTAAAGGCTCCTCCTAATACAAGGCAAGGATGCTTGACTGTACTTGGATTCAAGGGCCAACTTAGGAAGGTTATAGTCCTTCCTAAGATCTAGAAGGTTAGAGACTCAGTAAAGTCCCTCTCATCTAATAACTGGTTTCACACTACAGGATGTTAATTGCCATCTTTTTGGATTAATCTGTCTTGCACTCTTTGCTAGTGGCTATGGGTGACAAAATTAGGCATCTACAGGACCATGGGACATGGGGGAGATTTTTCGTCTCCAAAAGGAGAAACTTGAGAGTTGATGGGACTGTTGGAAAAGATCTTTTTGCTACCAAGAAGCAGCTGCCTGAACTTGTTGTAAAATATATGGCAGTTCTACTCTTTGTGTAGAAATGCAGGACAAACTTATTGCATGTTTTCTTTCTCTCTCTCTTTTTTTTTTTTTTTTTTTTTTTTGAGATGGAGTCTTCTGTCACACATCGATCATTGCAGTAGGTATGATCTCAGCTCACTGCAACCTCTGCTTCCCGGGCTCAAGCATTTTTCTGTCCCAGCCTCCTGAGTAGCTGGGACTACAGGCGCCTGCGACCACACCTGGCTAATTTTTCACGCCATTACACTCCAGCCTGGGCAACAAGAGCAAAACTTCATCTCTAAAAAATAAAATAAAATAAAAATAAAAGCAAAAGTATCTATTTCTTTCAGAAAATAAATGTATTATTTTATAAATTCCATTAAAAATCATGAAGTAAGCAATTAGTTATATGGAAACACTTCTAGGCAGCACCAAGTTTCATCTCATAAAATTTAGCATGAAACCCAGAAATCAAGATAACAGGATTTGAACAGAGACACTCACTGTCAAAAATTACCCTGCAAAAAAAGAAACTGATGTTTTCATGAATCTATGTAACTCACCAATTATGTACCACATTTTCTCATGAAAATGTGTTCATTTCCAACAGCAAAAATAAAATATTTTTCCTCTTCTTTTTCTTGGTAGCATTCTGAAAGCTAAGCCTTGAAATTCTGCTTGAAATCACCTAGCTACATAAAAAACACACTGAGAAAATTTGCAAACTCACTCTGGGAAAGAAAAAGGCATGGGAGAATTTATTTATTTATTTATTTATTTATTTATTGAGATGAAGTTTCGCTCTTGTTGCCCAGGCTGGAGTGCAATGGCACGATCTCTGCTCACTGCAACCTCCCCCTCCTGGGTTCAAGTGATTCTCCAGCCTCAGCCTCCCAAGTAGCTGGGATTACAGGCACGTCACCACCATGCCCAGCTAATTTTTATATTTTTAGTAGAGACGTGGTTTCACCATGCTGGCCAGGCTGCTCTTGAACTCCTGACCTCAGGTGATCTGCCTGCCTCAGCTTCCCAAAGTACTGGGATTATAGGTGTGAGCCACCCTGCCTGGCCAGCACGTGAGAATTTTTTTGTTTGTTTGTTTTTTGAGACGGAGCCTCGCTCTGTCACCAGGCTGGAGTGCAATGGTGCGATCTCCGCTCGCTGCAACCCTCACCTCCCGGGTTCAAGTGATTCTCCTGACTCAGCCTCCCGAGTAGCTGGGACTACAGGCACGCGCCATCACACCCAGCCAAGTTTTCACATTTTTGGTAGAGACGGGGTTTCACCATGTTGGCCAGGATGGTCTCGATCTCTTGACCTCGTGATCCACCAGCCTTGGCTTCCCAAAGTGCTGGGATTACAAGCGTGAGGCACCACACCAGCGAGAATTTTTAACAAATGAAATATATGATATTAATTTTTTGAAACCCACTTCTTTTATGCCCTTTGTAAATATTTTTCTACCTTTCAAGCCCTACTAATATAATGCAATTTACAGCTAAAAAACTGAGATCAAAATAAGTGAACAAATCTCTTCAAGGTGACAAATCCAGAAATAGCAGTGCTGGTTAAATAACAGATGCGTCTGACTCAGGTTTCAAATCAGGCCATTCAATCACTTGAGAGATTCTTCCACCCACTCCTGCTCACTTATGTGCCCAAGAACGACCCATTCAGGAGACACTGCACTATTTCTCGGTGACTGTCCCAGGTGCATTTTACTTTGCAAGTTCTTACACCATCTCACTGGAGTCAGTTTGTTGTTGTTTTTGTTGCTTGTCTTTTGGGATACTGTAGCAGGATTGATAAGGAATCAGAGAGACTGATGGGGTTGAGGAGGATATTTATTATTTAGGTGCACCAGCCCAGTCGGATTAACATCCAAAGGACCTGAACAAAGATTTAAGTTACCTTTTAAGTATTTCGTGGGGTGGCAGGGGGAGATCTGTGCAGGGGGAAGCATATTAAAGAAGTGAGAAACAAAGACAGTCATTCAATTAACTGACACATGCATTACATAATTTTTTACTTTCCAGGGAAAAACATGTTTTATGGTTTGAGTTTATCCATCTAGTGACCTTGCAGCTGCACAGCTAGAGAAACAGGGGCTTCGCAATGTCTGGGAAAGGAGGAGAGATAAGGCTCGCTAGCCGCCGAAAAACAAGGCAGTTAATTTTTAAAGGACTCCAGCTCTTTCTCTTTCTCGGGGGAATTAGGTTTTCTTACACACAACAGAGTTTCTGCTTACATATTTTTTAATTTCATTTAATTTCTGTTCCATTTCCCCCCTTTGGTGCTTTTTATAACAAAGGTGTTAATAGAAAGCACCACTATTTGCCACCTCTTCATGGAGCTGAGCTTTTTCTTCTACTGGCAGTGACTGATATTTTATTAATGCCATCAACTGCACGGTAGCGGGTCAGGTTACTATTGCCTCCATAGTTGACTGAATATTCCTAACAAACAGGGGATAAAAGGCAAGGGAGGATGAGGCAGATGCCAAGAATAAGCAAGAACTCACCAATGAGGGTTTTGAATCTTCCAAAATTTGAGAACCATCCTCCAAAAAAGGAATCCAGGGACCACCCAGACCATGTCTGAACTGGAACACGGGTCAACTTGTGCATTCGAGCTGTGATTTCAATGACAGCTCGGCCATTACTGTCAATTACTAGGCAACAGTTGGTTAAATTAAATTTTCCACATATTCCCCTTCTGAGACTAAGAGGTAATCTAAAGCCAGTCTATTTTGATATATAGCACTTCTTATTTGTGTTGCTTGTATTGCCACTAAATCTAGTGCCTTTGATGTTTCATTGGTTATAATTTCAAGGACTGCCTGCAACCTTATGATGCAGTTGAGCATATAGATTGGGGTGCGGTATCTCCATGACCTGTCTTGCACCCAGGTAGCTGGCCTATAATATTTAATGGTTCTTTCAAGAGGCCATTCATTATCTTTTTACTTTCCTATGTCTACATCCTTTTTGACATTTGTGTCTATTTTTGTGATTATGCTTCTTCTAGTTCTTTTATTTTCATCATAGACTGGGTATCCTAAGAGTTCCAGTTGCTTTAGAGGAATTAGAAAGAAGGATGGCTTGATTGTTCTTAACACACATGCCCCTGTCCATTTAGCCGGCAGTTGCCGATATGCCTGTGCTCCACAGGTCCAATATAGGCCAGCGGGTGCCTTCCAAGCATTTGGAGCCTCTAGTTGATGCCAAGTGTGGCTTAGAGAATCAAGAGAAAGGATTTGCATTTGACCCAACCATCCCATTACTGGGTATATACCCAAAGGATTATAAATCATGCTGTTATAAAGACACATGCACACGTATGTTTATTACAGGACTATTCACAATAGCAAAGACTTGGAATCAACCCAAATGTCCATCAGTGACAGACTGGATTAAGGAAATGTGGTGAATACACACCATGGAATACTATGCAGCCATAAAAAAGGATGAGTTCGTGTCCTTTGTAGGGACATGGATGCAGTTGGAAACCATCATTCTCAGCAAACTATTGCAAGAACAGAAAACCAAACACCGCATGTTCTCACTCATAGGTGGGAACTGAACAATGAGATCACTTGGACACAGGAAGGGGAACATCACACACCAGGGCCTATTGTGGGGAGGCGGGGAGGGATAGCATTAGGAGACATACCTAATGTAAATGACGAGTTAATGGGTGCAGCACACCAACATGGCACATGTATACATATGTAACAAACCTGCACGTTGTGCACATGTACCCTAGAACTTAAAGTATAATAATAATAATAATAATAATAAAAAGAGAGAAAGGGTTTGGATCTGGTAAATAGAATTCGTTCTGGGCATTTCTCCATAGAGTTTTGTTTTTAGACTCATCATAATACTGTTGTCCTAGGCAAGTTGTTTCTCCTACTGCCTCTGTGAAAGCCTTTCCCCATCAGGTGATACAGTACTTTCCAATTATGGAGATTTTTCACAGCCAAACACTGACTGAGGCTGTTGATTCACTGGCAGGGTTAAGCGAAGTGAAGTTATCTTGTGGCATTAATTTCTTTGCCTTCCATGGCCACTGGTCCCCCATATTAGTTCCTCCACATACACAGCATGAGGAAATTCCTAAACTGCCAGCTATGTTTTCACCTAGTTGAGCAAATAAGTTTTCAGTTGATGGGGGAAGCTCAGGCACTGTCTGATGAAAATGCTTATAGAATGACTTATGGACCCGGAATTGTGGGGTTGGAAGCATTTGGGTCCTTCTAGTCTTTTTGACAATTAGTAGTGGAACTCCAAGGCCTGCTCCTTGTCTATTAACTCATAATAGTGCTGTCCGTCCTGTAGACCAAAAAGGTAGCTCTGGCTTTAAGATAGTAAAATTTAATGGATTGCATGTCCTTGTCTTATAATCTGGTTTTTGGGATTATGAACATAAGTGGCATGGCAGGCATCAAAGTACAAGGAAACAGGCCCTTTATAGGAGGGAGGGGCTTTTTTGGTTCAAGCTATAAGCTCTCCTTTTTTTTTTCTCTGATTTAATGTGTACCTTAAACCAGAATTCATAGGGTAAGAACATAGGATCATAACACACATCTAGCTGATTATTTCTTGGGTCACAGACTGAGTAGGTGGTCTGGTTGTATGTGCAGGTTCCTAACTTTGTTTCTGTACATTTATAGTAGGTATGGTCCAGTAGAGTTGTAATTATGGTATTCCTTACTCAGGTAGTGTCTACACAGTGTGGGCATTTTTTTTTTTAGAGATTTCTCCCCTTTTAGTGTAGGCAAAAATGGTAAGAACATCAGTGTATGTAATAGAAACATGCTTATACTACACATGGGCACAGCAAACCTTTCTCTGGGCATAGACATTTGAAGCATTTGCAGTAATAATATAACAACAGAACAATCAGTATTGACAGAATTATAGCTAGGCTTATGAATTGTATCTACATTTACTTATCTGGAGATGGTCCTTTTAGCTTTGGCTGTGCGTAAACTAGTCAGCTTCCGGGATGTGACTACATAGAGCTTGCAGGATCCTCAAGCTTCAGTCATACATAGACTGACCAACCTCTGGTGTGGTCAGATCAGGGCAGTTGTCCTTCTTACTGGTGGTTGGGTTTTGCGGTAGGACTATTCGGGTGGGGTGATCTGGGTCTTGTTGGCTAATCCACTGGTCATCATCAGGAGTCGCTGCTGCTGCTGGTTTCAGCCGACTATGGTGAATCCAAGGTGTGACACCTGCAAATTTAACAGCAGTGGGAGTGGACATTATTACAGTATGGGGCCTATCCTCTATGGGTCTTAGAGTGGTTGGTTTCAATTTTTTTTAACCTAAACAAAGTCCTTAGGTTTGAAAGGGTATACTGGGTCTGTTAGACTTACAGGCATTTTTTTTTATACCTAGCCATGCATCTTTTGCATGGCCATATTTAAACCCTGCATTTGCCTTCTCAAAGTTAGTTTTCCTAGTTTATAGAGATTCCCTTTAATCTGACTTATGATGGGGTGTGGCCGGCCGAACAAAATCTTATAGAGTGAATACCCAGTTTGTTGGGTGGGAGTGCACCTGACTCAGAAGAGAACCATGGGCAAGACCTGATCCTACCTTTGATGAGTTTCTTGACAAAATTTCCTCAGCAGCTGTTTGAGAGTCTGGTTTATGCACTCCACTTTACCTGAGCTCTGCAGCCTGTAGTCTGTATGTAATTTACACTTTATTTTTAATAGTTGAGTTAAGCCCTGAACTATTTCAGCCACAAATGTTGGCCCATTGTCTGACCTTAGAGTTAGAGGCAGTCCAAATCTGGGAATAATGTCTTTTAACAACACTTTGGTCACCTCTAGTGCCTTCTTTGTCTGGGTGAGGAAGGACTTGACTTATCCTGAAAAGGTGCAAATGAACACCAACATGTATTGATAACCCCCCTATCAGGGGAAATTCAGCCCCCAGTATTTCAATGTGGATCCTTTTCTACTTTCCCTAAGTGTCACCCAGTCTGAGAAATAAATGGAAAGAGTACAAAAGAGAGAAATTTTAAAGCTGGGTGTCCGGGGGAGACACCACATGTCAGCAGGTTCTGTGATGCCCCCTGAGCCGTAAAACCAGCAAGTTTTTATTAGCAATTATCAAAGGGGTGGGAATGTATTTTTATTAGCAATTGCAAATTTTTATTAGCAATTATCAAAGGTGTGGGTCACAGAGATCACGTGCTTCAAGGGCAACAAAAGATCACAAGGCAGAAGGTCAGAGAGAGATCACAAGGTCAGGGCAAAACTAGAATTGCTAATGAAGGTCCATGTCCTGCTGGGCACATATTGTCATTGATAAACATCTTAACAGGGTTCAAGAGCAGATAACTGGTCTGACTAGAATTTGCCAGTCTGGAATTTCCTAATCCTAGCAAGCCTGGGGGCACTGCAGGAGACTAGGGCATGTTTCATTCCTATCTTCATCTGCATAAGGCAGACACTCCCAGGGCGGCCATTTTAGAGGCCACCCCCGGGAATGCATTCTTTTCCCAGTGCTGTTAATTATTAATATTCTTCACTGAGGAAAGAATTCAGCGATATTTATTTTACCTGTTTTTGGTAATAAGAGAAATATGGCTCTGTCCTGCCTAGCCCACAGGCAGCCAGACTTTAAGGTTATCTCCCTTGTTCCCTGAAAATCACTGTTATCCTGTTCTTAAGGTGCCCAGATTTCATATTATTCAAACACACATGCTTCACAAAAAATTTGTGCAGATAAAGCAGTCATTACAGGGTCCTGAGGCAACATACATCCTCAGCTTACAAAGATGATGGGATTAAGAAATTAAAGTAAAGACAGGCATAGGAAATTTTAAGAGTATTGATTGGGGAAGTGATAAATGTCCATGAAATATTCATAACTTATGTTCTTCTGCCATGGTTTCAGCCAGTCCCTCCATTTGGGATCCCTGACTTCCTGCAACACCCCCCTCTCAGTGCAATTCGTTGAAGATCATAAACAGTTTTTCACAGGGCATGGCTCCTGTTTCCTGAACTCCTGGGGGCTGAGCAGGTCCTTGTTTTGGATTATTCCGGGCACAGGATAGACACTGTTCACAAACTGCATGGGTGATGGCAGAGAGTGGTGGCACGTAGAAATGTCAACCTATCAAAGTCTCTAGGGCCATCCTTCTAATGTGTGTTCCTTGATGGATCTACTTCACAAACCTTGGACTATTGTCTCTGGGGTGGCTAGCCTCCCATCAGAGAATAGCCACCTTGCATCTTTAAGATATTTTCCTGTTTTCCGACCAAACCAAGCCTTTTCATTTGGAGCATAGCTTGAGATCTCTGGGAGTGGAATCTCCAGGAGGAGAGGCATAGCTAAGGCTTCCTCTTTAGAAGGTGGAGTTGTCATTGCAGCCTGCTTTGACTCTTTGTCTGCCTTTTTATTTTTTTTTTTTAGTCTTTAGTGTTCTTGCTTTTTGGTGCCCCTTGCAGTGCATCAGTGCCACCTCTTTTGGGGCCCATACAACATTTAAGAGCTGTAAAATTTCTTCCTTGTATTTTATTTATTTACTTCCAGCAGTTAAAAGTGTTTTTTCTTTGTAAATAGCCTCATGAACATGCAAAGCGGCAGAAGCATATTTGGAATCTGTGTAAATATTTGTCTTTTGGTCTTTTGCTTGCCAGAGAGCTCTTGTCAGAACTATCAACTCTGCTTTCTAAGCAGAGGTTTCTGTAGACAAAGATCACACCTCTATTACTGAGTCCAAAGTCACCACTGCATATCCAGCTCAGCAGACTCCTTTTAGTATGAAACTGCTTCCATCAGCAAAATATTCAATGTCTGGGTCCCTGAGGGGCCAATGTGTTAAATCTCTCCGGCTTGAGAACACTTTATCTACCATGTCCACGCAGTAAAGAAGGGGGGTCTCCTGGCACTGACTTGATGAGGAGCCAGGTAGCCAGGTTTAGGGTATTCACAGTCTCTAAAGTCAATTTATTAGTTTTTTGTACCAGTAGGGCAGTGGCAGCAATTTTAAATAAGGAGGCCACTCAAGTGCCACAGAGTCTAATTGTCTAGATAAATATGTCACTGGGTGATGCCATGACCTTATGGTTGAGTTAGAACCCTTATGGTCTCCCTTTCACTTGTGGATATATAAAAAGAAAAGCTTAGTTAGTTAGATCTGGCAGTCCTAAAGCTGGGGCCTGAGTTAAGGCTTCTTTGATTTCTTTAAAAGCCTTCTCTTGGTTGGCCTCCTAGAGGAGGGTATTTTTCTTTCCTCTCCTTTGTCACTTCATGTAATGGCTTAGCGATGAGCAAGAAATTTGGGATCTACATGCTGCAGAACCTTGCTGCCCTTAGGAACTCTCTTATTGGATGCAGGGTGGTTGGAATACAAAGTGCACAAACGGCCTGCTTTTGTTCACTACTAAATCATCTTTCCTCTTGGCTTACATAAAAGCTTAAATACTGGACACTTTTAGAGGAGATTTCAGCTATTTTCCCCGACACTTTATAGTCTGCCTTCCACAGCAGGTGCAGGGGGTCTTGGGTTTCTCCCGGGTGCAGTAGCCCTTGGCCAGTGTTTTTTTTTAATACCATGGCCTTGACCATTTCCTTTATTCTTTTGAACTTTATCCTTCCAGTGTCCTTTCCTTTTGCACTGTGAACATTAATTTCTCTTTAGCCTTGGCCAGCTTTCAAACTCCTGTCCAGAGTAGCCTTTTCCATGACTGCGTTCATGCCTGTATCCACGCCTCCTTGCAAAGCCAGCTTCTTTTCTTGTAAGGACTGCTGCTAGTAAATTAGCCTTTTTTAAGTCTCCAAGCAGCCTTTTTCTTTGCCTCCAGATCTCTGTTAATGTACACTGTGGTAGTCACTTTAATAAGCTGAGTAGCATTCACACCTATGGAGCTTTTAACTTCTGCAATTTACACCTGATATCTCCTTGGGCCTGCCTTACAAATGCCATATTCACCATGCACTGATTTTCAGCAGCCTCAGGGTTAAATGGAGTGTACAACCAAAATGCCTCATAAAGTCTTTCATAAAACTGGCTGGTGCTTTTATATGCACCCTGGAGAACCTCTGAGATTTTTATATTGGTTGCCTTTTTCTTGTATCATCCTTTAAGCCTTTGCAGAAGTGCTTCTCAGCACTTTTGTGGGTGCTGAAGGTGAACTGCATCATCTGGGTCCTAGTGGGGGTCCTCTTCTTAAGAGGCATAAGCATGACTTGGGCATAGCTAGACCTGAGATGGCCTGCCTGACTTTTTGAGCCTTTCACTTTAACTTCCCAGAGCTCTGACTTCTCCTTCTCTGGTGAGACTGGGGGCAGTAAATCTGTAATCACCAATTCCAGACAAGCCCCCAGAAATGTAGTGGGATAGATAAGAAATCAGAGAGACTGATGGCGTTGAGGAGGATACTTATTATTTAGGTGCACCAGCCCAGTCAGATTGACATCCAAAGGACCGAGCCCTGAACAAAGATTTAAGTTACCTTTTAAGCATTTCGTGGGGTAACAGGGGAAGATCTGTGCAGGGGGAAGCATATTACAGAAGCGAGAAACAAAGACAGTTATTCAATTAACTGACACACGCATTACATAATTTTTTACTTTCCAGGGAAAAACATGTTTTATGACCTGAGTTTATCTGTCTAGTGACCTTGCAGCTGCACAGCTCCTTAAGGGCAGTCAGTTTTGGCAAAGGGGGGGTAGATTGGAATGTACGGAGGAGGGGTCTCCATTCCCTCCTGTGGTTCTTGCAAAACTGATTTCCTCTTTCCTGAGACTTTTGTTTTGTCTCCATAGCTTCTGGGGCAGCTGATTTTTACTTTCACTTTCGGCTCGGCAGTGCTACAAGCCTCTGTGATTTTCCCTGTAACTCTGTAGCTTCCAGCGCAGCTGATTTCTCTTGACATGAGCTGCGAGCTTTCTACATTAAACTGCTAGGCAGAGCTGCATTCATTTAGCCATGAGTCAATATAAAGACTAGATCTGAATGCCCTGGCTGTCCTCTGACCCTAGTCACCACCTTAAAACACATGACCAATTTCTTCATCCATATTGCCTTCGGCCAGCCATCTGACACTAAAAGAGGGCTGTTCTAATTCACAGTATGTCCTTAACTTTTGAGCATCCAGTTTCATCCCATGATCACTTCTAAATCCTTTTTTAAAATTCTTTATCATGCACTTCAAAGGAGTTGGTTTTGATGCTTTCCCTCCCACTTCTTTCCTTGTGGCACATTTTCACTCTCACTTTCACTTTCACTCTCAGGTCCACCAGACTGGGTCCTATTATGAGAGTTTCGGATGCTGCTTAGCCAGGAACATGCCTTCCCCTGTCACAGCTTGCTGTGGCTGTGAAGCTGGTCCTATCAGCCGTATGCAGCATCCTAGGTCTGAATTCCCCCACACTCTCCTCGGAGCACACAGTCCGTGCTAAGGGATCTGTGTCGCCGCACATCACTCCTGTGTTGGCCTCTCCCAAGACTGGGGGCTGACCACTAATACAACAACCCAGAGTGGCTGGGGGTGGCAGGAGTGGTGGTTTCTTTCACACACTTTCATGTGCCTCCCCTGACCAAGGACTCCTCATTGGATGAAACAAGCCTCTCTCGTGTCCCGGGTGAGCCTAGTTAGGCTTCCACATTCACACACATACACACACCACTCATACCCCAGGACTCCTCATCGGATGAAATGAGCCTCTCTCATGTCCTGGGTAGGTTCACATGCACCCACACACTCCCAATTCCTGGCTCCAGATCAAGTGAACCACTTTCACTTCGTTAGTGGGGACATGAAATTCGTCCAAATTGGCAGGCCACTACTGCTACCCCAGCCACTCTGGGTTGGATTAGCGGTTGGTCCCCAGGAGATGATCAAGCTCCCCTTCATCCCTATGGGACAGGCATTCCTACCTTGGGCCCTTACTCTTTACCACAGTTCCTGAAGTGCTGGTATTGTCCTGCAGCCCCATCCCTGGTTCCATTGTGCTGCCAGGCAGGGTGCTGGGACATGGGGAGAGTCGGTCTCCATCTGGGTAAAGCTCCCCTGTGGCACGCCTTGGAGGCTGGGTCTCCCCTGGGTCTCCCCTGGCCCCAGGGCCCTAGTCCTGCAGGCAAAGGAGACAGTAAATCTGTAATCACCAATTCCAGACAAGCCCCCAGAAATGTAGTGGGATTGATAAGAAATCAGAGAGACTGATGGGGTTGAGGAGGATACTTATTATTTAGGTGCACCAGCCCAGTCGGATTAACATCCAAAGGACCGAGCCCTGAACAGAGATTTAAGTTACCTTTTAAACATTTCGTGGGGTAACAGGGGAAGATCTGTGCAGGGGGAAGCATATTACAGAAGCGAGAAACAAAGACAGTTATTCAATTAACTGACACACGCATTACATAATTTTTTACTTTCCAGGGAAAAACATGTTTTATGACCTGAGTGTATCTGTCTAGTGACCTTGCAGCTGCACAGCTAGAGAAACAGGGTCTTTATAATGTCTAGGAAAGGAGGAGAGATGAGGCTCGCTAGCCACAGAAAAACAGGCAGTTAATTTTTAAAGGATTCCAGCTCTTTCTCTTTCTCAGGAGGAATTGGGTTTTCTTACATACAACTGAGTTTCTGCTTACACATTCTTTAATTTCTTTTAATTTCTGTTCCAATACTGTTTTTTTTTTTTTTTGGTCACAAATTTTTCACTTTTTTTTTTTTTTTTTTTTTTTTTTGAGACAGAGTCTTGTTCCGTCACCCAGGCTGGAGTGCAGTGATGCGATCTTGGCTCACTGAAAACTCCATCTCCTAGGTTCAAGCCATTCTTCTGCCTCAGCCTCCTGAGTAGCTGGGACTACAGGTGCCTGCCACCACACCTGGCTGATATTTTGTATTTTTAGTAGAGATGGGGTTTCACTGTGTTAGCCAGGATGGTCTTGATCTCCTGACCTTGTGATCTGCCCGCCTCAGCCTCCCAAAGTGCTGGGATTACAGGCGTGAGCCACTGCATCTGGCCTACTATTTTTTTTTTAACTCTATTTCTTTTACTATATTTATTTCACTATTCTTCTGCCCCCTTACAGAATCCAGCGGGCAGAAATTATTTCTGTGTTTTCCTCTCATTACCAGCATCTGATTGGTTGACCAGCAATTTGTCTCCAAGAAATGAAATCTGGGTTGGGTGAAGGCAATTTTAACACCTTTTCAAAGTTAGAGTATACTAGAAGATTCCTCTTAGCCCCAGGGTACCCACTTTCTCCCTTGAGAGGATATGTTCCATACTTCGGGTCATCCTAAGAGAGAAAATAAACCAGAAACTGATATCCATTGGACACTCTAGCTGACATAACCATAGCAGATATCTTGGTTTATCCTCAGATAGTACTAAACCCAGGACCAGCAAAAAACTAAAGGGTGGCTAAGGACACATCACCCCATAAATTTTCCAAAACAGAACTTTGACCCAAAAACGTTCTGATAAGACGTCTGTGCCTAGAGAAGATAAAATGAAAAGAGACACAGAGATTTTCTTTTTTTTTTTTTTTTGAGATGAAGTCTCGCTCTGTCGCCCGGGCTGGAGTGCAGTGGCCAGATCTCAGCTCACCGCAAGCTCTGCCGCCCGGGTTTGCGCCATTCTCCTGCCTCAGCCTCCCGAGTAGCTGGGACTACAGGTGTCCACCACCTCGCCCAGCTAGTTTTTTGTATTTTTTGGTAGAGACGGGGTTTCACCGTGTTAGCCAGGATGGTCTCGATCTCCTGACCTCGTGATCCGCCCGTCTCGGCCTCCCAAAGTGCTGGGATTACAGGCATGAGCCACCGCGCCCGGCGAGACACAGAGATTTTCTACAATACAGCATCAGGGGATTATTATTTGCCTTCTCCTCACGGGAAATATTTACAAACAGATAACATAACTTCTTAAAAGCACCATTTAGAGCTTTGCCAAAAAATGATTAATTAAAATTTGGTATAAAAAAGTACACGAAAAGACAAAGAAGTGTTAATATGAACTAGGGAGAAAAAGCTGGCATTTGGGAATTCCAGAAGAAAGTGGAAATTTAGTATCTTACTGCAAGCCAGAGTGAGGCTGGAGATACAGGGCATGGGTGTTTAGACTTAAGACCCTGCTTGGGACACAGGTGAAAAATGCAGCAGAAAATCAGTTCCCCATGCTGTGTGAAAATAATTAAGTTGCAGGCAATTAGACTGTGTCTCTAGTTTCTGGGTTCATAGTTAAAAAAAAAAAAAAGTAACTCAGGTGCATTATTATTAATTATTACATTCAGAGAAACAAAATTCAGGCTTCACCAATTATAAACTACCAATTAAGCTCTGATTACATAACCAGGAAATTTTCACCTTTAATGTACTGAAGTAGAAACTTAATAAAATAACAGAATAATAACATAAGTAATAATAGTAAAGATTATAGTAATAGTAAGAGAAATAACAATAGCTCATAGAATGAATTGCTGTATCAGCCAAAGCTAAAAAGAATTTGAGTAGCCCTCTTGAAGTTAAAGTTAGAAGAGAATATTAACTGTCTGTCCCAAGAAACATTAACCATATCTACCCTCCACACATTTTGTAGGCTCTGTAAGCTCCTGTTTCTTTCTTCCCGGCACAGCTGCAAAGTCACAAGACAGATAAGCACAAGCTGCAAACCAAGTTTTCCCAGAGATGTAAGACATGAAAACATGTCACAGCAACCTTTGTTCTCATTTCTGTAAGCCTGCTTCCTGCTTCACGCAGTGCCCACCTCAAAATGCTTAAAGGGGACTCGTTTCCTTTGTTCTGGGCTCAGACTTTCAGGACACGTGTCTGCTGTGCCAGAGTACACCTTAAATAAGCACTTTCCTGCACTCCATTTGGTATCTCCAGTTCCTTACTTTCCCGCAACAGTACAAATTAAGAAACCACGTAACTGTACCTAACCAATTACTAAATTTGGTTTTCTTCATTACGTATTTTGCAAAATGTCAAGTGCATCCATGTGAAGAGACCACCAAACAGGATTTCTGTGAACAACAAGGCTGTTTATTCACTTGGGTGCAAGTGGGTTGAGTCTGAAAAGAGAGTCAGCAAAGGGAGATAGGAGAGGGGCAGCTTTATAGGGCTTGGATAGGCAGTGGAAAGTTACAGTTAAAGGTGGTCATCGATTGATAGCAGGCGAGGGGTATACAAGGTGAATGGTGGAGAGATCATGGGACTCATTGTCAAAGAGAAGAATGTCACAGGGTCAATTGATCGGTTGGGATAGGGAAGGAACAAGTCATAATGGTAGAATGTCATAAGGTGGGTTAGTTATTTAAGGCAGGAACTGGCTGTTTCCCTTCTTTGTGGTTTTTTGGCTGCTCCAGACTTCTTGGTTCCTGTAGGCCACCTGGACGTACATGTGCAGGTCACAGGGGTTATAATGGCTGAGCTTCGGCTGAGGCCTGACATTCCTGTCTGTTTATTTACAAAATATAAAGTTATAAGAAAAGATAAAGAAAATGTAAGTTTTTAGTGAGGGTCATTGGGGTAGGGGTGATATTTCTCAGGACTGCTACAAGTGTGACCAGAGACTGCGTGAACATCTTACAGAAAATTTTATAATGAGTTAGTCCAGTAAGTTTTGGGTCTAGGGTGCATTTTTATGTGGCTTAAAAGGTGCCAGTTAGCATATTTTTGAGCTTGGAACTGCCCTAATAGTATAAGTTCTCTAAAAACAGTAATCAGGCATATTAGCTTTAATGTAAGTGGCGATGAGTTTTTAGACCAAGGAAGGCATAATGTTTTACATACCAAAGCTTTTTGTCCCCATTTTCCATCATATGAATGGGATTCCCTGTTGTTAAGTCAATGACCTATTATATTACCCTTTTCCCATAGGTGTGGGTGGTGATGTGAATGGAAAGTTCAATAGTTCTGATTGCAGATCCTATGCGGGAGAGATAATAAGTAAAATAATCTTTGTTTCCTGGATTAAGGTGAGGAAGAATAAATTTTTCACAATCTAAGAACCACTTGCCCTAAGTTGGAAAAGACTGGTAGAGCAGGTTTGTAGAAGAGGAGTAGGTGGTGGTGATAGAGGAGAATGAAAAATATTGACCTTTTGGAGTGAGGGCTGGAATATTTGTGGGTGTGGAGGCATTTGCTATTTCTTTTGCTGTCCTGTCAGGATAGGCATTTCCTTTAGCTATAAGATCAGTTGGTTTCTGGTGTCCTTTACTATGAATGACCCCAGCCTTGGCTGGCAGGAGAGCAGCCTTAAGGAGAGCCTTTATTAGAGAGGCATTGATAGTGGAAGAGCCTTGTGTGGTGAGGAGAGCTCTTTCAGCCCATATAACAGCACAGTGGTGCAGGATATGGAAGGCATATTTACAATTGCCTCCATATACCTTTGCAAGAGTGAGGGCCTGAGTTAAGGCAATGAGTCCAGCTTGCTGAGAGGTAGTGGAGGAGTGCAGAGCAGTAGCCTCAATGAAAGATTGGAAGAGGCTATAGCATAGCCTGCATTTGCTGGTGAGTAGCAGTTAGGCCTGGTGGAACTGCCATCAATAAACCAAGTGTGATCAGGGTGAGGAATAGGAAAGATAGAAATATGGGGAAATGGAGTGAATGCCAGGTGGATCAGAGACATACAGTCATGGGGGTCAGGTGTGGTATCAGGAATAATGTGGGAGGCTGGATTGAAGTCCGGGCCAGGAATAATGGTAACTGTGGGAGACTCAAAAAAGAGTGAGTATAGCTGAAAGAGCCAGGGGGCAAAAAGTATATAAGTCAGGTGGGAGGAAGGAAATAGATTTTAAATGTTATGAGAATTGTAGAGAGTGAGTTGAGCATAGTTGGTGATTTCGAGGACCTCTTGATCATAGTTTGTGATTCTGAGGATCTCTAAAAATATTAGAGTGGTGGCAGTCACCGCACACAGACATGAGGGCCAGGCTAAAACAGTAAGGTCAAGTTGTTTGGACAAAAAGGCTACAGGACGTGGTCCTGGGCCTTGTGTAAGAATTCCAACTCCACAGCTCTTCACTTTCACTGTGTGTAATGAAAAGGGTTGGGATGAGTCAGGGAGAGCTAGCGTGGGAGCAGTTTTTAGAGCTATTTTTAAGGAACAGAAAGAGGAGTGGGGAGAGGATTTGTGATCTATGGGGTCAGCTGGGTTTTCCTTTGTGAGTTTATATAATGTTTTTGTTAGGATGACAAAACCAGGTATCCAAAGGCGAAAGTATCCAACTATGCCTACAAAGGAAAGGAGTTGTTGCTTTGCTGGTAGGGATAGAGGTCTGTGAGATTAACTGAACATGGTCTGTAGAAAGAGTGCATGTATGTCGATGGAGGACTATGCCAAGATATGTAGCAGAAGGGGAAGAAATTTGAGCCTTAGAGGGGGATACTTGGCACCTCTTTGAGTAGAGATGTTAAAGAAGTAGGATACTGTCCTGATGGGAAAATTGGTAAGAGGGGCTGCAAAGAAGGTCATCAACATATTGAATAAGGTGAGAAGCAGAAGGGTGGAAAGAAAGTAAATCATGAGAAAAGGCTTGGCTGAAGTAATGAGGGCTGTCTCTGAAGGCTTGTGGCAGTACAGCCCAGGTAAGCTGCTGGGACTGATGGGTATCAGGGTCAGTCCAGGTAAAAGCAAAGAGAGGCTGAGACAAGGGGTGCAGGGGAATAGTGAAAAGGGCATCTTTAAGATCAAGAATGGAATAGTGAGTTGTGGAGGAAAATATTGAGGACAAAAGAGTGTACGGGTTGGGCACCACAGGGTGAATAGGCAAAACAATTTGGTTGATAAGGCACAGATCCTGAACTAACATGTAAGACTTGTCTGGTTTTTAGACAGGTAAAATGGGGGAATTGTAAGGGAGTTTGTAGGCTTTAGAAGCCCATGCTCTAGCAGGCAAGTGATAACAGGCTTCAGTCCCTTTAAAACCTGTTGTGGGATGGGATACTGGCATTGAGTAGGGTAAGGGTTATTAGGTTTTAATGGAATGGTAAGGGGGGCATGGTCAGTTGCCAAAGAGGAAGTAGAGGTATCCCACACTTGTGGATTAAGGTGGAGAGATACAAGGGGAGGATGCAAAAGAGGCTTTGGGTTGGGAAGAAGGGTGGCAATGAGATGTGACTGTAGTCCAGGAATAGTCAGGGTAGCAGATAATTTTGTTAAAGTGTTTTGGCCTGTGGGGAAAAGAAAGAAAGATCAGCCTATTACTGTGTCTATATAGAAAGAAGTAGACATAAGAGACTCCATTTTGTTCTGTATTTGAGATGCTGTTAATCCTTGACCCTACTCCCAACCTTGTCCTTGCAAGAGACATGTGCTGTGGTGACTTAAGGCTTAATGGATTTTGGGCTATGCAGGATGTGTCTTTGTTAAACAAGTGCCTGAAGGCAGCTTGATGGTTAAAAATCCTGCCCATCCCTGGGCAATGGAACATCTCGGTGTAAAACCCGATTGTATGCTCTGTTTACTGAGATAGGAGAAAACCGCCTTACGGCATAAGGTGGGACTTGCTGGCGGGACTTGCTGGCGCAGTGTTGCTAAGAGGTTTATGGAGATGTTTGCATATGCGTATCAAGGCACAGCATTTCCCTTTGAACTTATTCATGCCACAGAGATCTTTATCCATATGTCTTACTGCTAATTTTCTCCCTTCAATGATCCTATTGTCCTGCCACTCCGTTATCTTTAAGATGGTAAAGATAATTATCAATAAATACTAAAGGAACACAGAAACCGGTGCTGGCGTGGATCCTCTGTATGCTGAGCGCCGGTCCCCTGGGCCCACTTTTTCTTTCTCTATACCTTGTCTCTGTGTCTCATTTCTTTTCTCAAGTCTCTCGTTCCACCTAACGAGAAATGCCCACAGGTGTGGAGGGGTAGGCCACCCCTTCATTGGCCTAATAAGGGAACTGGGCAGGTGGGGATAACTAAAAAAGAGTATGTAAAAGAATGTTGTCCAATTTGGCACCAGAGTTGGGGAGTTTAAAGAAGTTTAGAAGCCTGGCCATCAATACCCACAACAGTTACGGAGGCAAGGGAAACAGGTCCTTGAAAAGAAGGTAGCATGGAGTGGGCAGCCTCTGTATTGGCTAAGAAGGGGATGGACTTACCTTCCACTGTATGAGTTATCCGAAGCTTAGCATCTGTGATGGTCCAGGGGGCTTCCAAGGTGATTGGGCAGCATCACTCTTGCCAGTAAGCTGAGGAGATCTGGGAAGGAGTCAGCCAGAGAGCTTTGAGCTGGAGCTCCAGGGCCCTAGAAATGGCTGTGATATTAGTTGGACAGTCCAATTTCCAGTGGGGTCCCACTCAGATGGGACATGGCTTAGGAGGAATTCCAGGCTGTGGGTATTCCTTGGCCCAGTGGCCAGTTTTGTGACCCTTGAAGCAAGGTCCATGAGGAGGTTTTAAAGGAGTGCCCAGAGGCTGCAGTTTCGTTGTTCTGAAGTTTTTATGTGCCAAAGGCATGGCTGGAGTTTGTCTTACAGTGGAGGCAAGCAGTTGCAGCTCTGAAAGATGATGCCACTTGACTGTCTCCTCTCTATTGTTGAACACCTTGAAGGTGAGGTTGATTAATTCTTGTTGTGGGGTTTGAGGGCCAGATTCCAATTTTTGAAGCTTTTTTTAATGTCAGGAGCTGACTGGGTGATAAAATGCGTATTGAGAATAAGATGGCCTTCTGGCTCTTCAGGGTTTAGGGACTGTAAAGAGTCTAAGGGTGGCCACCAAATGGGCCTTGAACTGGGCTGGATTTTTATATTTGATGAAAAAGAACCTAAATGCTAACTGATTTGAGAGAGGTCAGATAAAGAAGAAAGGAGAATTAACTTTGACTATGGCTTCAGCTCCAGCCATCTCTCAAAGAGGAAATTGTTGGGCAGGTGAGGGAGGGCTAGTCACAGAATGAAACTGTAAGCTCGACCAGGTGTGAGAGGGGGAGGTGATAGAAAGATTATAGGGTGGGGGAGTGAAGGCTGAGGAAGAATTGCTTGACATGGAGAGGAGCAGCCTGGGGAGGAGGGAAAAGTTCAGATGGATCCGTAGAAAAGGAGGATTTAAAGGACTCAGAGCTTGGGATGGAGACTGAAGGAACAGACAGGAGAGAAAGAAGAAAGATTTGGAATGAGTCATATTGGGAGCAGAGACTAGGGAGGGACCAATGTGTAAAGAATGCCTGGACGTCAGGCATCTCAGACCATTGGCCCATTTTTTGACAAAACTTATCTAGATCTTGTAGGATGGAGAAATAGAATGTGCCATTTTCTGGCTGTTTAGAGCCATTATCAAGTTTGTATTGGGGCCAAGTGGTGTTGCAGAATAAAATAAGATGCTTAGGTTTTAGGTCAGGTGACAGTTGAAGAGGTTTTAAGTTTTTTAGAACACAGGTTAAGGAGGAAGGAGGAATGGAGGGTGGAAATTTGCCCATAGTAAAAAGGTAAGTTTAGAGAAGAGAGGTGGTAGAGACACAGAGAGAGAGGGGTGGTACTTGCACCCAGGGGAGGTGGTACTTGCCACCCAGGGGAGGTGGTACTTGCCACCAAGGTGAAGGATCAAGGCAGGCATCCCTGTGGTGATCAAACACCTCTAGAACGTGGGTGAATAATCAGGCAGGCATCCCTGCAGTGATTAGACACCAAGGGAAGACTGTCTTCCCAAGTCTGTGACCAGCGCTGGAGTTTTGGGTCCATGGATAAAACGTGTCTCCTCTGTCTCTACCAGAAAGGGAAAGGAAATGAAGGGAAGGGAGAGATTGAAGGGTGGCACCAAAACTGAAAGGAGAAAGAGGTTGAGGGATAGCAAGAGGGGTTGGAGAAGAGAATAAAAAGAGGTCGCTTACCCGATTTAAAATTGGTGAAGTGCTTTTTGGGCCAGTCCGAGGTTCCAAGGTCAGAGGTGGATTTTCTCATGGAGCAAAAGGCAGGAGGACAGGGGATTCATCTCCTGAGGGAGGTCCCTCAATCCAAGTCACGGCAACAAATGTCAAGTGCATCCATGTGAAAAGACCACCAAACAGGCTTTGAGTGAACAACAAGGCTGTTTATTCACTTCGGTGCAAGTGGACTGAGTCCGAAGAGAGTCAGCAAAGGGAGATAGGATAGGGGCAGCTTCATAGGGCTTGGGTAGGCAGTGGAAAGTTACAGTTAAAGGTGGTTATCTATTGTTAGCAGGGGAGGGGGTCACAAGGTGAATGGTGGAGAGATCATGGGACTCATTGTCAAGGAGAAGAATGTCACAGAGTTGATTAATCAGTTAAGGTGGGGCAGGGAAAAGTCACAATGTTGGAATGTTGTAATGCTGGTTAATCAGTTAAGGCAGGAACAGCCTGTTTCACTTTCTTTGTGGTTTTTTTGGCTGCTCCAGGCTTCTTGGCTCCTGCAGGCCATCTGGACATATATGTGCAGGTCATAGGGGTTACAATGGCTGAGTTTCGGGTCAGATGCCTGACACAAAACACTTTCGTTTAGGCCTCTCCCATAGACCACAAACTACAAACCATAGCTGGGTGCTCTACAATTCTAGAACCACTCTTTGATTAAATTCTATAATATTTTTGCAGTGACTCCCATAAAGTTTTAATAGGCAAAAGTAGGACCGACCTGGGAACCCCACAGAACACAGTTCTTCCCATTCCTGGCACTCTCATCATTTCTAGGTTTCTAGGGGGTCCCGGTGTCTTAGCTGTGGATCTCCCAATACCTGCAGGTCACAGGGCCACAGAGGCTGAGTCTATAGGGGCAGAAGACACAGAGCAATGAAGACACGACATGGAACTCAAGCTGCAGCAGGAGACAAATGCCCCACCAAACCTGGAAGCCACACTGTTTCACTTCAGCTGCTTGCCCGATGGGACAGTTCCCAGCCCAGAGTCACTGATTGGATAACTTTTTATTTATTTATTTATTTTTGAGATGGAATCTCACTCTGTCCTTCAGGCTAGAGTGCAGCGGCACAATCTCTGCTCACTGCAACCTCCGCCTCTCAGGTTCAAGCAATTCTTCTCCCTCGACCTCCCGAATAGCTGGGACTACAGCATGAGCTATGGTGCCCAGCCTGCATAATGTTTAAAATCTCACCCTCTCAGGCCCTGAGTGATAGAAGATATGCTTAGATGATGGGCCGCAGCCCTCTCAGGCAGGACTTCCTCCCTGAGCTGAGCCAGGCCCACCCTAGAGGATATTTGCATTCAACCTTGCATATAAGGTCATATACATTTGTAAATAATATATCATATGGCAGACAGGCACGGTGGCTCATGCCTGTACTCCCAGCACTTTGGGAGGTCGAGGTGGGTGGATCATGAGGTCAAGAGTTCAAGACCAGCCTGGCCAACATGGTGAAACCCCTTCTCTACTAAAAATACAAAAATTAGCCTGGCATGGTGGGCAGCACCTGTAATCTCTGCTACTCTGTAGGCTGAGGTAGAGAATTGCCTGAAACAGGGAGGCAGAGGTTGCAGTGAGCCAAAATCATGCCACTGCACTCCAACCTGGGCGATAGAGCGAGACTCCATTTCAAAAAAACATATATGGCTATATACAAATGAAAATAATATAATAACAAATGTTTTGAAATTTCAGCTTTTTTTTTGGCCAAGTGCTGTGGCTCATGCTTGTAATCCAAACAATTTGGGAGTCTGAGGCAGGAGAATCGTGAGGTCAGGAGTTCATGACCAGCCTGATCAACATGGTGAAACCCCGCCTCTACTAAAAAATTAACTTTGAGAGGCCAAGGTGGGTGAATCACCTGAGGTCGAGAGTTTGAGATCAGTCTGACCAACATGGAGAAACCCCATCTCTACTAAAAATACAAAATTAGCTGGGCTTGGTGGCGCATGCCTGTAATCCCAGGTATTCAGGAGACTGAGGCAGGAGAATCGCTTGAATCCCCAGGAAGTGGAGGTTGCAGTAAGCCAAGATTGTGCCATTGCACTACAGCCTGGGCAACAAGAGCAAAACTCTGTCTCAAAAAAAAAAAAATTAGCCGGGCCTGGTGACATGCGCCTGTAATCCTAGCCACTCAGGAGGCTGAGCCAGGAGAATCACTTATACCCAGGAGGCAGATGTTGCAGTGAGCTGAGATCATGCCACTGCACTCCAGCCTGGGTGACAAAGCGAGACTCCGTCTCAACGAAAAAATAAAAATTAAAAAAAAAATTCAGCTTTTTTACGTTCCTGGTTTATGGTCCTTTGAGTAGGCAGCCTGAGATTTTAAAAAGGAGGTAATCCTCTGAAATAAAATGTGAGCCACATGTGAATTTTGAATTTTCTAGTAGCCAAACTTTAAAAAGAAACAAAGAATAGGTTGAATGGGTTGCAACAATGTAATCCAATATATCCAAAATATCATTTTAATGTGTGAGGAATATGTAATTATTAATGAAGTATATAAATATTTGTAACTAAATTTTCGAAACTAACTCTATATTTTACCTTTCTAGCACATTGCAGTTCAGACCAGGCACATTCCAGGCAGACAGGAGCCACACATGGAAGCTCTGATGTCAGTGTTGTGAAGGGCCAGAGGTGAAGGAAGAGCCTCTCCCTACCAAAATCTCTCTTCAGTTCCGAGGATGGAACAGATAGTGGCCATAGAAAGAGCTAAGGGCAGCAGGAATAAAATAGCCACAGGTAAACCACTGCTGGCCACCTGTTGCCCACCTTTCTTTTAGAGATTAAGCAGTGAACAAAGGGCGATGGGGCCACAGGAGAACAAAACTATGTCTTCAGTTCTGTCCACATTCTCGAACTCCAAAGTTTAGATATGGAAAAAATAGATTAAAAGTACTTATTTTGCTATTTGGCCTTGGCCCTAATTGTCTGGCTGTGGTTATGGGTTTTCTCGAGTGTTGACTGAACTCCTGGAGTAACTGCACAGGACATCAGCTGATCTGCCCACCTCGGCCTTCAGAAGTGCTGGGATTACAGGTGTGAGCCACTGCGTCCGGCCAAAATCTTCTACATACAAGTGTGTGCCATGGGTGCACGCAAGAGACCGTTTTTGATTTCTGTCATTTGTAGAGTCATAAGAAAAAAACAGTGAACAAAGAGTGTATGGGCCAGGCGCGGTGGCTCAAGCCTGTAATCCCAGCACTTTGGGAGGCCGAGACGGGCGGATCACGAGGCCAGGAGATCGAGACCATCCTGGCTAACACAGTGAAACCCCGTCTCTACTAAAAAAATACAAAAAACTAGCCGGGCGAGGTGGCGGGTGCCTGTAGTCCCAGCTACTCGGGAGGCTGAGGCAGGAGAATGATGTAAACCCGGGAGGCGGAGCTTGCAGTGAGCTGAGATCCGGCCACTGTACTCCAGCCCGGGCGACAGAGTGAGACTCTGTCTCAAAAAAAAAAAAAAAAAAAAAAGAAAGAAACAAAGAGTGTATGATAGCAGCGATGTCTTCATTTTTGATCTTGTAAAAAAAAAAAAAAAAAGTCTATCTGGGCTGGGCACGGTGGCTCACGCTTGTAATCCCAGCACTTTGGGAGGCTGAGGCAGGTGGATCACAAGGTCAGGAGTTCGAGACCAGCCTGGCCAATGTGGTGAAACCCTGACTCTACTAAAAATACAAAAACTAGCCAGGCATGGTGGCACGTGCCTGTAGTCCCAGCTACTCGGGAGGCTGAGGCAGAACAATCGCTTGAACCCGGAGCCAGACGTTGCAGTGAGCCATTACCACACCACTGCACTCCAGCCTGGATGACAGAGCAAGGCTCTGTCTCAAAAAAAAAAAAAAGCTATCTATATTAATGTTGCCATCTGCTCTTGAGAAGAAACTTTACTGGTTAGCTTTACCTTAAGATCTCCAATGGGTATACAATTTCAAATGTTTGCAGGGGCCCTTCTGAGTCATGAGATTATCAACCCAAGGTTCGAGGTCCTGAAGTCTTGCTGCAGTGTAGATGGCAGGCAGACTCAATCTCTGGGTTCTAGATTATAAAGAGTTTTACTGTCCTCAGTCAGTAGACCATTAAAAGCATTCTTTACCTGGTAAAAATATGCTTTGCCATAATGCACTGAAGCTTTGCTGCATTTAATCATATTAGACTTCAGTAGCAGAAGATACATGAGGTTCTATTATCAGGTGCCTAAGCTTTCCAATGACTATTTTATAATAGTCAACACATTTTTTTCACTCTCAGTGAATCTGATTGTCATCAGTCTCAATTACAATAGAAATCCAGTTCATTTAGTTAGCTTTGCTTAACACTATTTTATCGGGGCTTGGTACAGTGGCTCACTCCTTTAATCTCAGCACTTTGGGAGACTGAGGTAAGTGGATCACTTGAGGTCAGGAGCTCAAGACCAGCCTGGCCAACATGGTGAAACCTCGTTTCTACTAAAAATACAAAAATTAGCCGGGCATGGTGGCAGGCGCCACCGTGCTACTCAGGAGGCTGAGGCAGGATAATGGCTTGAATCTGAGAGGTGGGAGTTGCAGTGAGTTGAGATGGCACCACTGTACTACAGCCTGGGTGACTGAGTGAGACTCAGTCTCAAAGAAAAAAATAAAAATAAAAAACTATTGCATCTGTAATACCGTATTTAACAGTTTTATAACTTGTCTAGTGAAATAAGCACCTTTAGTATTGGAGACTTTTTTAGAAATATCCTATGAGCAAAACATATTTCTTAATATCCTTTTAGCTACTGTTATAACATCAGACTTTTCGTTTGAGAAAACCTGTGTTTTTTTTTTGTTTTGTTTTGTTTTTTGAGATGGAGTTTCGCTCTTGTTGCCCAGGCTGGAGTGTAATGGCACGATCTCGGCTCACCACAACCTCTGCCTTCTGGGTTCAAGTGATTCTCCTGCCTCAGCCTCCTGAGTGAGTAGTGAGTAGCTGGGATTACAGGCATGAGCCATTGCGCCCACCCTGCTGCTTTATATTTCTGAGTAGTTTTCTGTTGTGTGGATGCTCTAGAATGTGTGAATTTATTTTCCTATTGATAGACATTTGGGCTGTTTCTTGCTTTGAGCTATTTTGATTAAAACCTCCATGAATGCTTTTACACATATATTTTTTAATATTTAACTTAATTCTTTATCAGCATGTGTCACATCTTTGCATTATTTTACTTGTTACTCAAGAGATTACAATATGTGTCCTTTTCAAAATTTCAACTTTTATCATAAATACAGAGGTTACATTTAAAGGTTTGTTACATGAGAATATTGCATCCAGCTAGTAAGCATAGTACCTAATATGTAGTTTTTCAACCCTTGCCCCCCTCCCTTTCATCCCCCTTTAGTAGTCCTCTTTAGAGGGCAATGTACATCTTTAACATAACACATAATACTATATAACATAATACAGTACTACATGGTTTTCATAAATGTAAAATATAAAAACCTTATGACAGAAAAATTCTATTTTCTTCTTCGAGCTTTTGTGCTGCTGTTACAATTTTACATCTATGTATTATAAATCCAATAATAGAGAGTCATAATTGTTGCTTTTATTAGTCATAGGTTGCTTTAAAAATTAAGGGAACAATTTAATCAGATACTTTGGTGCTATGCAAATATACTGCTTTTTTTTTTTTTTGAGACACACCCGCCTCGGCCTCCCAAAATGCTGGGATTATAGGCGTGAGCCACCACGCCCGGCCGTACACTGCTTATTTTTTAAGTGTTAATTACAATTTTTACACTCCTCAGTTAGCCTTGGATACAATAATAACTGTGGTGGTTTTGTGATGATTTCTTTAGCATTTTATCTATGTTGATTAGTATTTGGAATTCTGTAAAAAGTATTTGCCCTCTCCTTTTTGTTTGTTTGTTTATTTAAATATTTTTATTTCAGTGTGAATGCATGGGTATTTATTTGATTTGACTTGATTTATTTTATAGGTCAGTGTTTTAATTACTCATTTGGATGCTTTTATTGTTCCAGATTGAACCATTGGGAGTTCTTTCAGTCTGGCTGCCTTTGACATGTTCCCATCATTTTTTTAAAGAGCTTAAAAAAAAAAAAAAAATTTTGAGGCTGAGCTCAGTGGCTCACACCTGTAATCCCAGCACTTTGGGAGGCCGAGGTAGGTGGATCACCCAAGGTCAGGAGTTCAAGACAAGCCTGGCCAACATGGTGAAACCCCATCTCTACTAAAAATTAGCCGGGCATGGTGGCACCTATAATCCCAGCTACTCAGGAGGCTGAGAGAGGAGAAATGTTTGAACCCAGGAGGTGGAGGTTGCAGTGAGCAGAGATCGCGCCACCGCACTCCAGCCTCCAACGTGGGCAACAAGAGCAAAACTGTCTCAAAAAAAAAAAAAAAAAGCATTTTGGCTCTACAAGATACTCTACATAACCTATGAATTATCTGATAAGAACAAGAACTGAAAACAATGGAAACTGGGAGATGCACTAAGACCCTGAGTTTTGGTCACACTGTGACCTGTGTGGGACCCTAACCAAAATGTGAGAATTTTTAACACAAAATTGTAGACCATCATTCTGGACTGATCTTGTGCACTAGGCCCAAACAGCCTAAACAAAACCAAAATGGAGTCACTCATGCTAAATGTGACATAATTAAACTGAAAATTTAAGAAAATAGGTAGATCCTAAAGCAGGTCTTTTTTTTTTTTTTTTTTTTTTAATTTTAAAGAGCAGATTGCAACACAAGGAGAACTCCTCTACTGTAACCCTTAAAAAATAATAATTACCAGAAATCCTTGTTTCCACTTAAAAAATCCATAGTTCTGCTATTTTACAGTGGGATTTGAGACTAAATAAGTACATTTTTTAGGGTGACAACATAATATCAATGTATAAAGTTTTGGTCTATCTCTCAAAATTGACAAGATGACCAAAAACAAGAAATGGTTAAATTAATTATAGCCTAAAGCTGCCCCCTTTCCTGTTCAATTTTGCTCAATAGGTTTTTTTTTTTTTTTGGTACATAGTAAACTGAAACCTAGCTGGATATATAAATAGACTGTAACTTATTATTGTACCAACCACTGTGTTTTTACTAATAAAATAACATCAAGTGTTCAAGCCATGTTCAAATAAGGCAAATCCCAAGCTGCAGTCAGTCTGGCTGTTTCTGTACCTCACGTCCATTTTCTGTATGTCCCTTTGCTTTTTTCTGTCCATAGATCTGTTTTCATCATGTGGCTGTGCTGGAGTCTCTCTGATCCTGCTCTGGATTCACAGGTTGCCCAATTTGCAAATTATTCTACGCTCAAATAAACTCTGTTAAATATAATTTCTCTAAAGTTTTTTTCTTTTAGACTGGGCGCGGTGACTTACGCTTGTAATCCCAGCACTTTGGGAGGCTGAGGCGGGTGGATCACGAGGTCAGGAGTTCGAGACAAGCCTGGCCAACATGATGAAACCCCGTCTCTACCAAAAATACAAAAAAAAATTAGCTGGGCATAGTGGCGCGCACCTGTAATCCCAGGTACTTGGGAGCCTGAGGCAGGAGAATCAATGAACCCAGGAGGCAGATATTGCAGTGAGCAGAGATCACGCCACTGCACTCCAGCCTGGGCAACAGAGCAAGACTTGGTCTCAAAAAAAAAAATTTTTTTTTTCTTTTAAAAGTTTTCAATTTTTTTTCTATGATGAAATATAAATAATGTGTTGTTGGTCTCTCGATTTCCTAAATTCATCCCTCAGCTGTTTCCTTACATTATTCTATCTCTTTTCAAAATGCTTCTTCAATTTCTTTTCTTTTTCTGAGACGGGTCTCATTCGATCACCCAGTCTTGATTGCAGTGGTGTAACCAATCACGGCTTACTGCAGCCTTCACCTTCCAGGCTCAAGCAATCCGCCTGCCTCCGCCACCTAAGTAGCTGGGACTATAGGCATGCACCACCATGTCTGGCTAAATTTTATTTTATTTTTCATGGAAATGGCATCTTATTATGTTGCCCAGCCTGAACTGGAACTCCTGAGCTCACCTAATTCTCCCGTCTCAGCCTACCAAAGTGCTAAAAATACAGGTATGAGCCAGCTAGTGCTTCTACAATTTCTTGAGATGATTATTCCCAATGATAAACAGTACTGAGCACAAATCTGAAAGGAATGTGGCTTCTTTTGTAGAAGTGTCACTCTCCAGGATTTCAAGGGTCTAGGGCAGGGTAGCTACTTTAGTAGTGTGATCTATGGAGGTGCATGGGCTTTGGAGTCAGAGTTAATCCTGAGTTTCAGCCCAGCCATTTAGTATCCATGGGTCTTTGGACAAGTTGCTTGATGTAGAAGAGTTCTACGAACCACATATGGAAAAAAAGTAGAATGATACTGATTGCAAAATGGTGGCAATTTTTCATCCCTTCTGTGTCCGTGCCCATTGTCAGGTGCATTTACAGCTGTTTCCATCAAGATCCAGCATCTGTTTTCCAAACCCTAGATATGGTTGGCCTTCTTGTCTCTGGGTGGTAGAAACTTGCGAACATGACAGGGCTAGTTTGGGGCTCAGGCTCAAATGGTCTTGAATGCTTCTGCTTTTCTTTCAGAATGCTGCCATCTCCATGAATAAAGCCATGTTAGCCAGTTGGAAAATAAGATACAATGGGGAGGAGAAGCAAGGTGCCCCTGTTGACAGTCCCAGAACTAAAATCTCACCCCCAGAAGCACAGCTGGCTAGTCAACAAGCAGCTGATGATACATACCTCAAGGAGCTCAGCTGAGACCGGAATAACGACCCCACTCAGCCTAGCCTAAATGGCTGAACATCTCAATTATGAACTAATAAGTTTTGGATGATTTGTTATGCTTAAACGGCTAATACATGTACCCAGTGCAGATAGGATGCCAGGATTCAATGACAGGTTAATTATTAGCTACCTTCTAACAGTGGGCACCCTATAGGTACTGATTTTTTCCCCTGATTTAAAGTTGGATGTCTTGTAAGAGAATGTTGAGTAATGCAGAAATACAGGTAGACATGTATGCATGTGATTGGCGCTTATACCTGCATAGTCCCACACACTACAGTAGAAAACAGATAACTACAGCCCCATTAGGGCCAAGGCCAATAGCAAAATAAGTTTTGCCTTTAATCTATTTTCTCCATATCTAAACATTTGAGATCAAGAGCGTGGACAGATCTGAAGACATCGAGTTTTATTATCCCCAACGTTCTTTGTTCACTGTCTGATCTCTGAAAGAAAATGGGCAACAGGTGGCCATCACTGGTCTTCTTGTGGTTATTTTATTTCTGCTGCCCTCTGCTCTTTCCATGGCCACTATCTCTTCCACCCTCAGAACTGAAGGGAGATGTTGGTAGAGAGAGGCTCTGCCTTCACCTCTGGCAGAAAAGGTTCTCTGGGGCCCTTTATCCCCTGACATCAGAGCTGCACTTCAATGTGGAAGCTTTGGTCATGTGTGGCTCCTGGGTGCCTGGAATGTTCCTGGTCTGAACTGCGATGTGCTAACACAGAGTTAGTTTCAAAGATTTCGTTTCAAATATTTATATACTTTATTAATAATCACATATTTCTTACATATTAAAATGAAAATTTTTTCATATTTTGGGTTAATTAAATCGTTACAATCAATTCAATTCAACCTGTTCCTTTTTTCTTTTAAAAGTTTGGTTACTAGAGAATTTAAAATTTACATGTGGCTCACATTTTACTTCAGAAAATTACCTCCGTTCTAAAATTTCAGCCTGCCTGCTCAAAGACCAGAAGCCGGGAAGGTTATAAAATCCGAAATTTTAAAATAATTATTATATTCTTTTCATTTGTGAATAGGCATACAGTATGTTATTTATAAATGCATGTGACTTTACACACAAGGTTAAATGCAAATACCATCTGGGGTGGGCCTGGCTCAGCTCAAGGAGGAAGCCCTACCTGAGAAAGCTGCAGCCAAGACTGTCACTCTTTCTTCACTCAGCCCAGCATCTGATCGCATCTTCTGTCACTCAGGGCCTGAGAGGGTGGGGTTTTAAACGTTATCCAATCAGCGACGCTAGACTGGGAACCGTCCAATCAGGCACGCAGCTGGAGCGGACAGGACGGCTTCCGGGATGTGGCGGGGCCTTTGTCTCTCACTGCAGCCTGAGCTCCAGGTCTTGCGTTCATTGCTCTGTGTCCTCTGCTCCTAGAGGCCCGGCCTCTGTGACCCTGTGACCTGCAGGTATTGGGAGACTCACAGCTAAGACACCGGGACCCCCTGAAAGCCTAGAAATGGTGAGAGTGCTGGGTCGGACATCCCGAGAGAAGGGGAAGGGCTGGTTGTAACCGGTGGGAAGCCGCTGTGGCGGGACTCAGGCCTCCCTGCAGTCAGCTCCGCAGTCTGCGCCCCGAGTTCTCCTTGCCCAGCTCGGCCTCAGTCCCAGCCATAAGATGGCGGCTGCGCTGACAGTCGGTACCCCGGGCGTCCTGTCACTTCCTTGTGCAGTGATTGTGCCCTGGCCTGGAGCCCTCTCTGGGCAGCTCTGCCCCCGCAGCGCCGCATCTTTCCCAGATTGTGCAGGGACCACGGGAGGGTCTTTAGGGGACAATTCCGACTTGGGGTGCGGGTTCATGAATGGGAAGAGCTTTGTTCCGTGGGGCTCCCGGTTCCTCTTGCCTTCTGTTAAAAATATATGAGAGTCACTACAAAAACATTAAATAATATAATCAAAGAGTGATTCAAAAATTGTGAAGCTCCCAGCTGTGGTTTGTAATTTGTGGTTCATGGGCGGGGCTTGAAAAGACTTTTATAAAAAGCATGATGAAGAAAACCAAATTCAGTAATTGGTTAGGTAGAGTTACATAGTTTCTTAATTTGTACAATAAAAGTGAAAATTTCCTGATTGTGTAATCAGAGGTTAACTGGCAGTTTATAGTTGGTTAAGGCTGAATTTTGTTTCTCTCAATGCAGTAATTTACTAAAAAATGCACTTCAGTTAGATTTTTTTTTTAGTAGAAACCCAGAGACTAGAGACACCTCAGTCTAATTGCCTGCCTTTTAATTATTTTCACAGTCCATGGGGAGCTGATTTTCCGCTGCATTTTTCACCTGTGTCCCAAGCAGGTTCTTATGTCTAACCGCCATTCCCCGTTTCTCCAGCATCACTGGCTTGCAGTAAGATACTAAATTTCCAGTTCCTTCTGGTGTTTCCAAATGCCAGCTTTTCCTCCCCAATTCACGCTATCGCCTATTTGTCTTTTAGTGTACTTTTCTATACCGTATTTTAATGAATTATCTTTTGACAAAGCATTAAATGACGCTTTTTAAAAGGTTTGTTATCTGTAAATATTTCCCATGAGAAGAAAGCAAAGAGTAATCCTCTGACACTGTACTGTAAAAGCTCTCTGTGCCTCTTCTCCTTGAATCTTCTCTAGGCACAGAGATCTTGTCAGAATGTTTTTGGGTCAAGGTTTTCCTTTGGAAACTTTATGGGGTGATGTGTCCTTAGGAACCTTTTAGTTTTTTTCTGGTCATGGATTTCAGTACTGTCTGGGGATAAACCAAGATATCCACTGTGGTTATGTCAGCTAAAGTGCCTAGTGAATATCAGCTTCTGGTTTATTTTCTTCCATAGGAAGACCTGAGGTCTGGAATGTATCCTCTCAAGGGAGCAAGTGGATGCCCTGCGGCTGAGAGGAATCTTCTGGTGTACTCTTATTTTGAAAAGGTAACCTCTTGAGACATTAAAATTGTCTACACCCAACCCAGCTTTCATTTCTTGGGGACACATTGCTGGTCAGCCAATCAGATGCTGGAGCTGAGAGGAAAACCCAGAAATAATTTCTGCCCCCTGGATTGTCTAAGGGGGCAGAAAGATAATGAAATAAATATAGTGGAAGAAAAATAGTGTTAAAAAGTGAAAAATTTGTGGCAGATAAAATAGTATCCCAAAAGACCAGAAAAAAACAAAACAAACAGAAAAAAAACTTGACTCTAGTGAGATGGTGTAAGAATTTGCAAAGTAAAATACCTCTGGAGCAGTCTCTGAGAAATACTGCAGTGTCTCCTGAATGGGTGGTTCATGAGCACATAAGTGAGTCGGAGTGGGTGGAAAAATCTCTCAAGTGATTGAGTGGCCCGACTTGAAACATGAGTCAGACACCCATTTGTTTTTTAATCAGCACTGCCACTCCCTGGGTTTGTCACCTTGAAAATATTTGTTTACTTATTTTGACCTCACTTTTTTAGCTGTAAATTGCATTATATTAGTAGGGCTTTAAAGGCAGGACATTTTTTTTTTTTTTTAAACAGAGTTTCACTCTTGCTGCCCAGGCTGGAGTGCAGTGGCTTGATCTTGGCTCACTGCAACCTTCACCTCCCAGGTTCAAGCAATTCTCCTACCTCATCCTCCTAAGTAGCTGAGATTACAGGCACACACCACCACACCCAGCTAATTTTTTGTATTTTTTTAGTAGAGACGGGGTTTCACCATGTTGGCCAGGCTGGTCTCGAACTCCTGACCTCAGATAATCTGCCTGCCTCGGCCTCCTCAAGTGCTGGGATTACAGGCATGAGCCACTGTGCCTGGCAGGTAGGAAAATATTTATAAAGTGCATAAAAGAGGTAGGTTTAAAAAAAATTAATATCTAATTTTATATTCCATTTGTTAAAAATTCTCATTTACCTTTTTCTTTCCCAGAGTGAGTTTTGTACAGGTTTTCTCAGGTGTGTTTTTTTTTTCTGGCTGGGTGCATTCAAACAGAATTCCAAGGCTTAGCTTTTAGAATGCTAGCTACCAAGGAAAAGAATAGGGGAAAATCTCTATTCTATTTTGACTGTAGAGAATGAATACATTTCCATGAGATAATATGGTAGATAATTGGTGAGTTACATAGATTCGTGAAAATATCAGTTCCTCTTTTTGCAGGGTAAATTTGTGACAGTGAGTATCTCTATTAAAATCCTGTTATCTTGATTTCTGAGTTTCATGCTAAATTTTATGAGATGAAACTTGGTGTCACCTAGAAGTGTTCCCGTATGACTAATTGTTTACTATGTGGTTTTTAATGAAAACAATAAAATAATAGATATGTTGACTGAAAGGAATAGATACTTTTGCTTTTCTTATTGAGGTACAAAATGTAAGTACCTTAAAATTTCCTTCCCTATGTTTGAGTAATTTTGCTGGATTTTTCAAACACATAATTTCAAAAACCAAGTGAGTAACTCTAACATGGAAATTAAAGCTTGAGCCCAGTGACTAAGAGCTAAGGCTAATATTGAGGCTGCAAAAGGAGGTTATTAAAGACCCACCTACGTGGTGGCTCACGCCTGTAATCCCAGCATTTTGGGAGGCTGAGGTGGGTGGATCACGAGGTCAGGAAATCAAGACCATCCTGGCTAACACAGTGAAACCCCGTCTCTACTAAAAATACTAAAAAATTAGCCGGGCTGAGGCTGAGGCAGGAGAATGGCCTGAACCTGGGAGGCGGAGCTAGCAGTGAACCAAGATCACGCCACTGCTCTCCAGCCTGGGCGACAGAGCGAGACTCCATCTAAAAAAAAACAAAGAAACAAATAAAGGCCATTGTAGTTTTTTTCTGGGTAGCCTCCCCTGCAGATGTCCAGCCTGCTCACCCTAGCCATGGAAGAAGCCTTTCTGCTGACACAACCCTGGAAAGCTGGGGACCCACAGGCAAAGGCAGTTAGGGTTAAGATGAAAGGGGACTGACAGGGTCTTACTGATGATGATGTTACTGTTTTGAGGCAGTTTCTAGACTTGGATATCAAACAAAATTAGATTTATGTTAAAAAAAATTGAATTCCAAAAGAGTATTGCAACAGGAAGAACTACCAATTATAAAAACTTTTATTGGAAAGTTTAGGCTGACAAGGGCTTCCTTTCCTAGGGAGGAGCAAACAAGATTAGAGAGAAGGTGGGAGGGGAATGGCAAATGAAGGGTGAAAAATCAGATTTTAGATCAGAGAATGTTTTGCCATGAAGTCAGCATGTTCTTAGAAGTACATAAAATAAGGTTGTATGTTGACTCAGACTGAGGATAGTTCAAAGTTCTGGAGCCTGTGAAAAATTTTATTTAGCCCACTGAAGACAAATTCAGCTGATTCTTTTAATTGGAAAAAGAGGAAAATGTGCAGAGTTCTTACCGGAAAGAGGTCCCAATCTAAGCCCCCCAAGAGGGTTCTTGGATTTTGCTCAAGAAAAAATTCAGGGTGAGTCCATAGAGTAAAGTAAAAGGAAGTATTAAGAAATCTCAAGGTCAGAAGTTTGAGACCAGCCTGATCAACATGGTGAAACCCCATCTCTACTAAAAATGTAAAAATTAGCCAGGCTTGGTGATGCACACCTGTAATCCCAGATACTCAGGAGACTGAGGCAAAATAATCACTTGAACCCAGGAGGCAGAGGTTGCAGTGAGCTGAGATTGTGCCACTGCAGTCCAGCCTGGGTGACAGAGTGAGACTGTCTCAAAAAAAAAAAAAAAAAAAAGGAAAAAAAAGAGAAGAATGTAAAGGAATAAAAGAATGGCTTACTCTATAGGCAGAGCAGCCCAAGGGCTGCTGTTTGCACATTTTTATGGTTATTTCTTGATTATATGCTAAACAAGGGGTGGGTTATTTATGCCTCCCAATTTTAGACTATATAGGATAACTTCCTAATGTTTCCATGGTATTTGTAAGCTGTCATGACACTTGTGGGAGTGGTAGCAGTGAGGGCAATGAGAGGTCACTCTCGTCACATCTTGGTTTTGGTGGGTTTTATTTGACTTCTTTATTGCAACCTGTTTTATCCACAAGGTCTTTATGACTTGTATCTTGTGCTGACCTTCTATCCTATCCTGTTACTTAGAATGCCTAACGATCCAGGAATGCAGCCCATTTAGTCTCAGCCCTATTTTACCCAGCCCCTATTCAAGATAGATTTGCTCTGGTTCCTCTGACATCTCCCCTGTCTTTTTCACAAGGGCGCACTTAATCCTAAGGGTTGTAGAGGGATGAAGATCCATGTTCTGTAACTGCTTCATGCTAAATAGGGGTGATAATATTTTTACCTAACTAGTCAGAGTTTTCTTGACCCTGAACAAAACAAAGGATCAGTGACATTTTATGCGAAGTCAGAAAATATTACTTTAGTCTTCTATTAGTTCCGTCCATTCAGTTAATTCCTGTTCCGTTTGATAGTCATGAACATTCCAGTTCTCTATGACTACTGTAAGTTTTTTCTCTATTCTAATGTCACAGTTTCTAAAGTTATCACAAACTTGCATTTAAGAACGTCTGTCGCTCGGCGCAGTGGCTCATGCCTGTAATCTCAGCACTTTGGGAGGCTGAGGCGGGTGGATTATATGAGGTCAGGAGTTCAAGACCAGCCTGACCAACATGGTGAAACCCTGTCTCTACTAAAAATATATATTAAAAAAAATAGCTGGACGTGGGGTGGATGCCTGTAATCCCAGCCTAGTTGGGAGGCTGAGGCAAGAGAATTACTCAAACCTGGGAGGCAGAGGTTGCAGTGAGCTGAGATTGCTTCATTGCACTCCAGCCTGGGCAACAGAGCAAGACTCCATCTCGAAAGAAAAAAAAAAATAGAACATCTGTCAAAGTTAACTATGAATCATCTTTTGAAGAGTATCAACACAAGATAATTGTCTGGCTGACAAAGTCTTAGGGCAGTCATAGTGAAAAACAAACAAAAAGAAAACCCATGATTGACAAGGAAATTTGGTTAGCTCTGTGTCATACAATAATTTTATGTAATGATTGTGATTATTAATGATGTTTTACCATGAAGTCAGCATGTTCTTAGAAGAGACATAAAATAATGTTGTATTTTGACTCAGACTGAGGATAGTTATATTATCATATTAGTTATATTAGTCATATTAGAATTACAGGAGTTTTCCTTAATTTTGGAACACATACCAATAACATATTTACACAAACATAGTCCAAAAATAGTCAAACATGATTTCACATTTGACAGTCTTTTCAGTGTGATTTTTATGCTAAATGAGCCAAATTTTTACCATTATATTTGTGTATTATTTAGGTCAAACCAATTCTTAATGAGTCTTTTTAAATTTTTTTTTTTTTTTTTGAGACTGAGTCTCTCCCTGTTGCCCAGGCTGGAGTGCTATGGCATGATCTCAGCTCACTGGAACCTCTGCCTCCTGGGTTCAAGCGATTCTCCTGCCTCAGCCTCTTGAGTAGCTGGATTACAGGCGTACACCACAACACCCGGCTAATTTTTTTGTATCTTTAGTAGAGACTGGTTTCACCATGTTGGCCAAGCTGGTCTTGAACTCCTGACCTTGTGATCAGCCCACCTTGTCCTCCCAAAGTGCTGAGATTACAGGCACGAGCCACCATGCACAGCCTCTTAATGAATCTTTATAGACAAATCTAATTTTAATGTTTGACTATAAGGTAATATTCTCATAAACCTTGTATAACTCTTCACAAAGTCCTTGTTGTTAAAGAGTAGATCAGTGCTTTAAGAGAAACCTGTCATTTTTATCTCAATGTTCAATTTCTAGAAAAACTGAATAATATCCATTTAACTTTAGTCAGTATGTTCACACACAGAATTGATTTTGCAATTAAATTTTAGCAAATCTTCCACAGTTTGTTTAAACCTTCAGTTTTATTCTATCTAATTAAAAACATTCCTTTAACCTTTTAATCTAGGCAAAAAAAAAATCCACATTT